TACAGACAGACAGACAGCTAAATCAATAAATAAATACAATTAAAAATGTGCCATTTAAATTAAAAAAGGAGAGCTTTACCTCACGTTTTTAATTTAATTGACCGTCACATTTATTTTCCAACTTAGTTCCAACAAATATATTTTTGCAAAAAAAATGTAAAATGTAAATTATGTGCTATATATTTAAATCATAAAATGTAAATAATGTGCAAATATATATATTAAATTATACATTAGTTATTTACTATATATTATAATTATTATATTATACATAATTATATATTGAAAAACAGTAAAAACTTTAAAAAATAGAATTATGTGCAAAAATATATTATTAGTTGGAACTAAGTTTGAAAAATAAATATGAAGGTCAATTAAATTATGAAACATGAGATAAAGCTCTCCTTTTTTAATTGGCATATTTTTAATTGAATTTATTTATTGGTCCATTTATGTATTTCTGCTTTTTTTTCTAGTTATGTCAGTGTCGGTCCTCCATACTGCAGGACTTGGACAAGGTAATTCAATGTCTGAATCAGGTGTGTTGGAGCAGGGAAAAACATAAAACCTGTAGGGCTGCAGCCCTCGAGGACCAGGATTGCCCACCCCTGTCTGTGTCGATAGATATATCTATATCTCCAAATACTGTATATAAAATTTTAAATAGCATTTAAAAGCGGTAAGAGGGCCCATCCCTGGTTTAGTCCAATTATTTCTTCTGTACAATTGGGGGAAAAAAAACTTATAGATTTAACAATTTTTCTTTTCCAGCTTTGAATGAAGATGTCGGACCAGTGAAGTTCAGCTCATCTGTGACTCCTCGCTTTGTTTTCTTGTTGAGATTCTAATATTTCTTGTATTTACTGCTTTTGTACAATAAAGTGAAAATAAAATGTTTCAACTTCAGTTTGTCTTTTGTAAATCAATGTGCAACTACAGTTTTTTCTTTTTAACATGTTCTAGGCTTGAACTTATATTGTGCCTTATCAAGTCCACATGGACTCCAAAGCGCTTTACACCTCAGTCATTCACACGTTCTAACACTGATGGTGGTAAGCTACACTGTAGCCTGGGGCACACCGACAGGGGGTGCTGCCAAGAACTTTTACACACTAGCAAATGAAGTGTTTAATTTACTAAAAGTTATATAAAGTCATTTACTCAACTCTTGTTTAGGAACCAGTTGACATGTCTTGGTTCAGTAAATTCCACACTTGAGTTCATAAACAAGTCTTCCCTCAGTTCTGCTCATTTAAATTTGTWGTTTGTAACAAGGTGTTTAAAGTAAAAATATGTTTGAATGTAGCAAAATTAACGTTAAAAATAGCAGATCTTCAAAAATAACTAGCACTGTAACAAAGAAAATGTACTTTACTGGAAAAACTTTACTGCTGGAAAAAATGACACTAAGATTTTGTGCATTTTAAAAGTGGGAAACAAAACTAAACTCTTAAAAAGCAAAATAATGCAATTTTAAACTTGAGAGAATTTATTAAAATAGTTCCAACATTCATAAGGAAGTACAGGTGACAGACTGCTAAACTGAAAAAAATACCAGGCTGATATAAAACCAGCAGCACTTAAAAATAAATCTGCTTAAAGTTTACACGATGCGACAGGTGGAACCACTAACTTATAGGAAATAAAAAAATAAATCATTAAAGCRTAACCCTTTAAGGTTAAATGCATCAAAAAGCAATGAGTGCAGACGTTTCAATGTTCAGTCTTGATGTACAAAAAATATAAATTTTGGCTTTTAGATTTCAAACAAAACCACGTTCAGTCCCATCAGACACTTCCACGTATGGATTTTGACTGTGACATTAGACAAACTCAGGCTCCATGTCCCGGTTTCTTGTCAGGGGTAAATTCTTCCCACACAGACAGGTCAGTGGGAGTTCTGACAGGTTCGGTGCAGGAGAGTAGGTTTTATTATTATTGTTGTTGGACTGGTTTACACTGAGCTCTGCCAGAGAGGTGGTCACTTCCTGCTCTGCCTCGTCATCAGGAAGCCCGCTGTCCGGCAGAGCGGGCGGCCCCCCTGCCTCTAGGTTGTCGGGATYCTGCTCCAGGTCAGTGTGGGTGGACAGGTCCAGGCTGTCCCTGTAGCTTAGCTGGTCTTCATCCATGCTCACCTCACTTTCCTGCTTCATCAGACTTCGGGGTCTCTGGCCCACTTCCTCTAGCTCTGAGTCAGAGTCGGGGAGCTGCTCGCTGGAGCCCAGTGAGCCCAAAGAACTTTCTAAATGAGAAGACAAAATTCGGTTTTTTTTCCCTCATCTTTTAAAAGGTGAACATTTTTAAAGGAAGCTATTCAATTCTCAGCAGTATTTTTGCCTTGATGAAAACATACCACATCCCTCCTCCTGCTTGTCAGAGTCTGGTTTGGTCTGCTCCTCTCTGTCTACAACACTCCCCGTCTTCTCTTGTGCTGTACTTTCCTAAACGAGCAAACGAAGGGGAAATAAATAAAACACACATTAGGAAAACGGTATACCACTGTTTACTGCCTGTTTTATTTAGACAAATTAGGAAAGGACTAAATGTTAAAATAAATAACAACTGTACAATCCGATAAGCTAACCAAAAAATTAGGTTCACGAACCACTAATCCACTAAACTAGAATGCTAAAACTAAACATCCATCCATTATCTGTACACACTTGATCCTTTCAGGGTCACTGGTGCCCATATCCAGCAGTCACAGTGCGAGAGGCGGGGTACAACCTGGACAGGTCACAAGTCTATTACTAAACAGCTTCCATTAATTTCTTTTTTTTTAAAAATTCACAAATGGATAAAACTGGGTTTTCATCTCCCTCCAGTTGAGGACTGACTCAAACCTGTTAGTTTTTTCTTGATTTAATTTGAAGGTGGTGGGATCACCTGTGGCAAATCAGCCAATCCAAACCAGTTTTAGCCCTGTCTTAACTTGTGATACTTCCAGGTTACCTCTTTCAGATTAAAAGCATTTCTAGATCAAGTTTGTATTTTAAGAAAAGTTGTTTGAAGTTAGTCAAACAACAAATAAAATATACTAAGGCTGCCATATTTTATAGGTAGTCAATTTTTGTGTTTGTTATTCAATTTTTTTTCTTGATGCTCTTGCGGTAGATTGAAGTTTAGCTGCTAAAGATGCTACATGCTTCGCACACTGTGCCCGACACATTCAGCACTGCTTGTAAGATGAGAGATTTTATTTAACTCAGGATAAATAGCAGAAAAATAGAAGCTTCACACTTATGGATAGTTTTAGTGGACTTCAAGTTGGCAGAACCTAATTTAGTAAAGCTAATCAGTCTGCTCAAGGTTTTCAAAGTTAGTAAAAATGCTAATAAGCTAAATGGCTAGTTCTATTAGAGCAGTGCCCATCACTTGGTATTTGTCCAGTGTTTTTATTTATTTATTTTGTGTTCTCGTTTTAATGAGTTTCTTAAACCAGGTTGCCTTTAAAAAGTTTTTGAACCATGAGCAGTAGTCACATTTTTCAGATAAGGAAAAACGAGCCTTTATACCAGATGGAAAAAAATTGCAGCTTCATACAGTATCTTTTAATAAGACTGTTAATCTGAAAAAAAAAATTAAGTGTACCTGCTGAGTGGAGGTAGAAGCAGAGCGAGACGTTTTGTTGGATTGAGAAGTTTTGGACTGGAAGATGGATGAGTAGAAGACGATTAGGGCCTCCACAATACGAGCCTGATGGGGGTAATCAACCAAAGACGACAGGGATATCGTGGCCCCGGTTGGACGAGGCCGCATTAAAGAGGGCCCAAACACAATCCCCAAGTTACTGGGACTCATCTTGTTGTCTTCCTCCAGCTCTGCAATCCTGGAATGAGGATGAAAACAAAGATCAGTGGGTATGACTCAACACCTGAAGCTGGCGTAAGCTGGACACTGACCTTCGAAGGTGGCGAACGATGTAGCGAAGCGTAGAGAAGTTAGCCTTGGGAAGTTCCTTAAGGACCTCCTTCAGACTGTCCACTAAGACCAGGATCTCTGGGTCAGTGTTAGACCCTAGGTTCACCAGCTCTGGGCCCCTGACCACAGCTGGATTAGTAGCACTGGACTCTGTCTCCTCTCCCTGAAGACTCTCCTTTGCCAAACCCATCAGTCTGTTGTACAGACGGAAAGGCATGATGGGCTCAGGCAGCTGCAGGAAACAAACATTTACTGTTAGAGAATTCAAAATCCACATRAACAAGGGTTATAATAATTAAACATCTTTATCAGTTTATTGCAGTAATGTTTTATTTGTGCCAAGTCTAATAAAACCAGGATAACCCTTTCCTCTTCAGAGTCTTTGAATCGAGATGAGCCTGCATCACGTACCTGTCTGAGATACAGCTTAAGGACGTTGCTGATGTCATGTGGCGAACACTGAGACAGCTCCACCAGTTCCTTCCCGTTCTCAAAGGCCTGACAAAGTTTCTCCACACGAGTCTTTACTCCGTTCACCCTGTAGATCCCCTGTGAAGAAGAAACAGTGATCATGTCTGAAACTTAACAGGTTTATAAACATAAAAAATGGGTTTTCTCACCTTCATTTTGAGTGCACGTCTCTCTATTTCGGAGATGCACTTGGTGATGATAAAGGGGATGCCRTCACTGGCACAGCTGGCAACCTGAGAGAAGTCCCTGCCGAACAGCTGCAGGCGACCCTGCAGCTTCTTGTGACCACATTGGATGGCAAGAGTTTCCAGACAGCGCTTGTGACACGCCAGGAAACACTGACGACACATGAAAAGGATTTTTATTAGTCAGTGAAACCAGAACAGTGTTCGATGTGTGAATCCAAATAATCTGCTCACAACTCTAACAGCCTTGTGACCGAGGTGYGAYGTGATGCCTTCACTCTATAGCTGCCTTCACAATATTAAGATGTATTTTTACCCCCATAATTTTGTTTTGGCACACATCTTGTTCTGCAATTTCTGTGCCACTTCAACTATTTGTACATCAAAATGTTCAGCTCCTTCAGGACATTCCCGCTATGACTTTTAGTACTTTAGCAATTTATACTTATACTATATTATAGATAATTCGCTTTTTCTGCCATTTTTTTCATCAATAAAAAAGCAGAACCAGAACAGATGCTGAAAAGTACAGTTAAGATTAATTTAAGATTTTTACTAGTTTGTGCTAATTTCAGCTTCCTTTGCCTTCTATTTAGCAGAATTTAGCTTCTTTCTACAGCTTTAGCTATTGTTCTGACTGCTATTCTGCCAATCTCAACTTATTTGGTCTTTTTTCAGCTTCTTTCTGCTAGTGTGAGCTGTTTTGAGTTTTTATCTACTTTTTAACTAATTTAGGCTTTTTTGCGATATTTACCTTTTTGTAATAATTTCAGCTTTTTACTGCTTAATTCAGCAAATGTGCTATGTTTCTTTGTGCTCATTTCAGCTCCTTTTTAAAGCAATTTTCCTGCTAATTTCATCTGTTTTAGCTATTTTACAAAAAACTGCAGCTCTTTTCTACTTCTTTTTTGTTTCTCTGCTAATGTGAGCCTTTATACTCTCCTTTCATCATCTGTCTGCTAATTTCAGCTTGTGAAATGATGACCTAATAATTTGAAGGTCACAAAATGAAAGGTCAAGCTCACAGGTTAGCCATTTTTCTGCTTGTTTTACCTTCTTTGGTCTAAATTTCACCTATACACATTTTTTATATATTTATTCGTAAATACAGCTTTTTGCYTCTTCCAACTTCTTGGTACTTTAAACTTTTTCGGGTTTTCAAACTACTTTTTGCTAATATTTACTCATTTCTACTAACTTTGGCTTTATTTCTACTCTGTTCAGTTTTGACACAACATTACTAGTTTTCTACTGATTTTTCACTTTTCCTACTTTCAGCAAAAGTCACAATAAGTTTCAGCTTCTTTAGCAGCTTTAGAAACATTCACACTGCATTTCCTCAGAATATGCAAATTCTCTTGTTTCTGTTCAGTTTCCACTCTAAACAAAGGTAGTGGGGGGTTATTAGGTTAGATAYCTGTTCAACAAACTCACCTCCTCGCACTCAGCTCCCTGGAAGTAAACATAACTGTCACATTCGCGGCATTTGGCAGGAGTTCGAAGCTTCCTCAGCCGGTGAGTCTGAGCTGCTTTGGATAAGCCGATGTTTCGAAATGGTCTGGCGGAAACTACCACGTCTGGATCCATGCCGTTAATATCTGCACAGAACAGCCTCAGTCACTCAGCTCAGAAGAAGCTCYCACAAAAATCTGGACAGGAAAATGTGCAACACTCACTCGGAGTTTCAAATGAAGCCATGTTTCTGTCTTTCTCATCGGCTTCCTCATCAGACGACATGGTTCCAGTTGACGATGTTCGAGCAATTTTAGGGATGTCGCCTAAAACAGAGAAACAAATTTTATATAGAGCTTTTTCCACACTATTGTGGAAGAGCAGATGAAGTATTTTATACTGAAAAAAATGTATCAGTTGTATTGTTTGTGACTCACCTGTGCTGGTGGTGGGAGAATCCAAACCTTCCTCTGCTCCAACACTGTCGTTGCTCACTGTTGAACCCCATGACTTGTGGCCTTGTCCTGAGAGGTAAACAAACAAAAACAAACAAAGCCAACAGAATGAGATCAATTACAAATAAACTATAACTTCTTTCAGTAAAAAAAAAAGACTAAATGACAATTCCCTTTCCAAAAGCACAGCTCTGTCAGGCCTCATGCAGCACCACTTACGTTTGCGGTGAGCCTCTGATTCTGCAGCTGCTGAGTCCATACTGGAGGCAGGAGAGTCTGTGTGGCTTGTGTTTGGGTCGGTGTTGAAGCTGTCATTTCTGGGTCTGTGGCCGTGTCTGCAGAGGTTTGACACACAACAGCTTAGAAATTCAGTACAAGAACCTAATTTTAAGATCACTGCACAAATAGGCTACAACTCTGGATGCATACTTTAGTTAATCCCACTGTTCACAGTTAAGCACCAACATTTTCTCATCTTGGTTTAATGCTTTATGGAGAAAGCAGTTTCTGTAAGTTTTTAGAAATCCATGACATTTGGGGGTTTCAGTCAGGTTTTAGATCACACCACAGCACAGACACGGCTCTTTTAAGAGTTTTTAATGACATTCAGGGAGCTCTGCAGTTTTAGCGCTTTTAGATTTATCAGCAGCCTTTGAAAATATAGACCACAACATTTTGTAATTCCTGCTGGAACATAATATTAAAGCTACAGCTCTCGCCTGGTTCAGTCCATAGCTCACTGGCAGGAGTTTTTCTGTCAATTTGGAGACTTATACCTCAGCAGCTCCTCTGTGTTATGTYCTGATGMATCTCAGTAATCCAGGTAGAAAAATCAAAAAGAAAAAATAAGTACGGCCTCTGCATAGGTTCTTCTTTAATGAGGCGTTTCATTAAAGAACCCGTCTAAAAGGACCTACTTATTTTTTTCTTTTTGATCCTTTATGTTATGGTGGTCCTCAGGGATCAACACTGGGTCCATTGCTGTTTATTCTGTACATGCTGTCACTAGGGTCTATTTTAGGAACCCTAATGTAATCTTTCACTGATTTCAATCAATCAATCAATAAGTTTATTCACTCAATTCAACAATATCATTAACATACAAAACATTTTTCTTGTAACACTATACATGAGTGAAAAGGAAGCAAAAAGAAAAACCTTGTATAAACCTGCTCCTTTCTCAATAATTACAATTATTATTATTATTATTATTTTCCATGGCCACATACATTAAATCAACAATATAAATAACAAACAATATGCCATTCTCATCATTGTTAATAAAGTGTATAAGTGTTAAGTGTATATTTACTGATGACATCCAGGCAGATAATGCACTGACAGCTCTGCTAAACTTTCTATCTGAAAATAAAACCTGGATGAGGTTAAATTTTCTAACTTTGAATGAAAAGAAGACTGAGGTCATCTGGTTTGGGAAGTTGTTTCCCTCCTCTTATGCAGCTGATGTTTTAGGTTCCTGTAATTCTTTATAAACAGGGTTAGACCAGTTATTCCTATAGTGTACAAATAGTTCAAAATGCTGCAGCTCGACTTTTAACTGGTACAAAAAGGCATGAACACATCACTTAGGTCTTAAAGGGGCAATATTATGTA